GTATGTATGTATGTATGTATGTATGTATGTATGGGTGAATGTATGTATGTACGTATGTACATATGTATGTATGAAAGTGTGAACACATTCTTTGTGACCCACAGAATCCTGAAGTCCACTGAGAGCTTTTCGGTCCACTGGTCATTAGTTTCAGTCTGTAGGAGCAGGACTTCCTGCTGAACTCTGTTTTTGATGCTCTGCTGTTTCAGTTGGTTCAGTGGTGTTGTAAGAAAACAGGAAGTGGTCACATGGACAGTCCTGAGGATCCATATTACCCTGTTAAGAAACAACCTCCTCAGGAACACCTTCCAGCGTACTTACCTCAGAGCCCAGTCACACAGACACCAGTCCCTGTCATCAGCGTGAGTACTGCACAGCTATACTATGTTTCCTGTATATCTGTATTACCGTGTACATGATGGTTTCTACATGCATGTAAACACTGCTTGGTCAAAATCTGCTGTACTCATTTAAAGCCTGATGTTTGAATGTGATGCTCTTTATGTTTTCCACAGGAGGAGACGCCCAGAAAGAACAGGACAGGTTTCTATGCAGTGAATCCCTGAGAGTCCCCCTGATGGTACCCTAGTGCATTTATCCAGGTGTGAATGCAACAGGCTGCCTGCTGTAGCAGTCGCTTGTATACTTAACCCGACTTAAACTGTTATTAAAATTGAAAGAATAAACCCTGCACACTATATTTAAAACTAAACGGTCAAAGCTGCGATCGCTGATAACACTAAAAACTGAAACCACTGAAGGTGGACCCATGTCAGCCTCGGTTAATCTTTTAACAAAAGGTTTAGTTTGACTAGTTGTATGATTGATGGTACGATTTGCATAACACGCTGACGGTGATAAAGTCATGAATGAGTCACGCTCTTCACCCAGAGGTCCTCCTTGGAGCCTCAGGCTGGGTTTAGTAAACCGTTTGATCTTTTTCTTCTTAGCAGGTAAATATATAACATAGGTAAACATACTTACATATATTACAGTGGTTCAAATAGATACCGCTGGTATCACTCTCGGGTGAAAGAACACTTTTAAATATATATTTTTTATTTTAAGTATTTAGTATTACATGCTTGTGAAAACCACATAGTTAGAAACTAGTTGACAAATTTGATTTAAATGTCTGATTTTTACTGTCCAGAGAAGCTGAAGCAGCATAGTCTAGTCTCTGCTACATATCAAATCAGCAGCCTATCACACGTTTCAGTTACAATCTTTCTTTAAAAAAATATTATTTTTGTTAAAATACACAGATTTTAATTTTGACTTCACACTTAGCATCCGAGAGTTATGTAATGCGGTGTCGTAATTCTGAGGAACTGAGGTGTTTCTGACCTCTCCCTCTCCCACAACAGTAGATGCTAGTCATGGCTTAATCATTCAGGGACTGTTTGACACTCAGGCCACACCACTATCTGACAGGAAGGCTGAGCTTTGTATGGTTTTGTATGAATGCACAACTTTATTAAACAAAAGCCTTCTCACACAACAAAAGGTGTGCTCATAAAAATGAATTGATGTCAGATTTCCACATCTTAAAAGAGTCACCGTGACTTAGAATGACATAACTGTCAGCAATTATGTCTAATTTAGAAACTGTCATTTTTTTTTTTTTTTATTGATTGCGTTTTTCTCAAGCAGTAAAAGCGTCAGTGTTTATCACAAAGTAAAAGACGCCGTAGAAAGTGCACAGCATGGAGCATATATTATTATTTATTACACAGTTCTTTTCTTTGCTATGTTGGTTTTTTCTCAACAGTGCCCTCAAAAGAATTCACTTAATAACTGATCACTTTTTCTTTAACGACTGGTTCTCCATCAGATTTCAGGAACATAACCACATAACAAATCCACAGCGACTCAACATGAATGCCTGAATTGTCACTATATTTATTGCACATGTCAAATGTTCTCAAGTACATGTAAATATCGATCAAATGTAAATAAATTGGTCTGAAGTATAATTAAACCTTCTTACTGAGTATTTACTTTTATTCACATGTACATACTGAGAACATAGCCAGACAGGGCGGCTGTGGCTCAGGTGGTTGAGCGGTTGCCCTCTGATCGTAAGGTTGGCGGTTTGATCCCCTCCACAGTAGAAGTGTCCTTGGGCAAGACACTGAACCTGAAGTTGCTCCCAATGGCAGGCAGCACCTTGCATGGCAGCTCTGTTGCCATTGGTGTATAAATGTGTGTATGAATGGGTGAATGAGAAACACATTGTAAAGAGCTTTGAGTGCCGCTAAGGTAGAAAAATGCTAGGTAAGTGCAGACCATTGACCATTTACATTTACATGACAAAAGCACAAACACAACCAGGCAGCGTATGCAGTAGATCTTTCAAAAGAGAAATTATAAATGGCAGAATGAAGTTGGGTTGTTGTTGTTGTTGAGGATCATCCTGCTGTTTTCAAACAGTGATTAGTGCATTACAGTTTTTACCTCCTGTAACAAACCATTTAAGGAACAGAACAAGAAATATGAATATATGTTGAGGCCAGCAGCTGGAGGTCAGCGACATGAAGCTCCGGATCCAGAGACATCTGCAGGGAGAACAAACACAGAGAACACAAGCATACTGACAAGAAAACACCCGCAAGAAATGAGAATGATGTGGTACGCTCCTGACATGGCATCCTACCACTCAAACAGTGTGGGCTTGACTTGTGGCTTTTAAAACCCTGTGACTAAACCCAATAAGCTCTACATTTCCAGCCCAAATGTTTAAGTAAAATTAGTAAATTCAACTTTTATTATACTAGTAGTATCAATGCTCAATTTAAGAAAATATTCATTTCTTTTCACTTAAAAAATCAAATGCACGATTAGATTTCCCAGGGTGCAACATGGCTATTTATCAGCCTTCACCAGATCCAACCAGTTTGTAGGTCCAGTAAAAAAGGTGCATCCTGATTGGAAAGAATGTAAATATTTGAAGGCGACACATTTCACAGGGTTGTACAGGCATCTGTGACGCGAGCAGACAAGCACTTATTGTCTAAAACAGCTCTTGTTGAATGTGCTACCCCAGCACCAGGGCACTCTTTTCATTAAACAATTAGTTATCAGTGCACAAATGGCGATGATAAACACTGAGGGTTGAGTATACAGTTGCTTATGATTAACTTTGCTCTTTTCTCCGTGTCTGAGGAGCAACATTTGCTTAGAGCTGTTAATAGAAAGATTAATGCCTGCTGCATTGTGAGCAGAACAGTGGACCTGAAGGAACAAACACAATGGCTGAGCGAAACGAAACAAACATAATGTAGGGTGTAACCAAACACAGCTCTATTATGGTGACATGAAGGTAGAGCAGATACTCTACATTCATCTGGCCACACACACACACACACACGCACACACACCCTGTCATTGTCCTTAATAGCATGTTCTCCCCGTGCAGCGTGGGTTCTCTCCGGGTTCTCCGGCTTCCTCCCACAGTCTAGAAACATGTTGAGGTTAGTTGGTGATTGTAAATTGTCTGTAGGTGTGAATGTGAGTGTGCTTGGTTGTCTGTCTCTAAGTGTGATAGACTGGTTACCTGTCCAGTGAACCTGCCTTCACCCTGAGTCAGCTGGGATAGACTCCAGCCCCCCACCACCCTACTGAGGATTAAGATTTAGAGATGATGGATGGATGGATGGATTCTCCTTAATATCTTACTTTTCGAGATTTTCTGTCATTTTAAGTGTTGAAATAAAACCAACCCTTCATTTGGAAAATTCTTTAAGAAGCTGTTGCAGGATAATTATGTGACCATCTGCACAGAAATGGTTTGTTTAGAGGATTTGTAATGCATCACATTAGAGAAGCGGCACTAGTGAAGGTCACCAATGATCTTCCAACAGCCTCAGACTGTGGACTAGTTTCTGCATTCGACACAGTGGATCACAGCATCTTATTACAGAGATTGGAACATGCCATTGGGATTAAATCAGCCTTCACATACACCCAAAGGGGAAAGAGAGGCTGCCACTAAGCAAAGGAGAAGATGGAGGAGGGTATAACAGTCCCATCTGTAATGAAGCACTGAGTCCAAGTAATGGCAGCACACTCTCATTGATAATGAAGGGGAGAGTTCAGCATTTGGCCCCTGGATGGCAGCACAAGTCAACGAATCCTAGAGTCTGCATCTCACTGCCATATCTTACATCATCATCTTACACCATATGTGTGTGTGTGTGTGTGTGTGTGTGTGTGTGTGTGTACTGTATATGGATCATACCACATAAAAAGTTATGTATATTTAATATTAGTGTTCTGTAAACAAGTTTAATTGAGACCCACACGATCATTAATATTTGTTCCATTGTACAGATGCAGTTAACATCAGCCCAAATAAAGACAATTACAGCATCACTAATGCAGAATGAAATCTTGATGCAGTTTTAAAACACTAACCTAACATTGCCTATGATGGACATACCTCATCAGAGAGTACACTGGCTGACAGTCAGGCAGCTACCAAAGCATGCCGACACCCAGTCCTGCATCTACTAACCTGGTTGGTAAATAAACACGGCCTCCGGTGTGTTGTGTGGTTTGTCCAGATTTACATTTTTGGAATATGAGCAGCACCAATGGAGAAATACACAAGGATAAGAGAAAACGTGTTCGTGATCGAACTGAACCAAAAATGCTTTTATTGAGCATCATATAATGTGATTCTATGTGTGCATGCTAGAACAGATTTACAGCAAATTAACATGGTGCGTTTGAAAAGCATAACAGAATAAACTGTCCACAGATTATGGCAGAGTGTAACAGTACCTGTCTGAGGGATCTTTTTTTAAACATTATTTAATCAATATACAATTTGTAGAAGTGACCTGATTATTACTTTGAATTCAGCCAGTTTGAGGCAAAAAAAAACTAAACAAACAAACATCCTAGAATCTGTAAGTTTAAAAAAAAAAAAAAAACAGGACTAGTGATGTCAGATTATACTACAAAGAAGGTTTGACATCACCAGACTCTCTTTGGGTTTCCAGGTTAACTGTGCACCATCGGACACCATAGTGATCTAGCAGGTATAGAAAGAGAGCCAGCTCTGTGACATGACAAACTCAAACATAAACTGCTCATTATCTCCCGATGTAGTAAACGCTCAGCTGTTCCGACTGCTTGAATTATATAAAAATCAAGTGTTTGGACCTCATTTGCTTAAAACAATAAACAAGTGATATAACTACAATTAGTGATGCACGATATTAAAATTTCTGGCCGATACCGATATCCAATATTAAGATTTCTGATATCACTGATGTCTGTGAGAATGTGAGAACTATTCAAAAGAAGCCCAATTAGACCACATAGTCTTCTACAAAAGTAAAACATATATAAACATATTTAACGTTCAGTCCAGGACCATTTAGGTAAAAAAGGCGATCACTGTAAATGTAGGCGGAGCTTTGAGACCAGAGGTTAATGAGAGAAACCCTGACAACAAGCAGTTAACAAGCGAGGAGAGTTGAACAAACAGCATTAGAGAGAACTAAGGATTCTGGGTCTTTAGACGCCAAACAAATCTGACCAGTTGGCTGCTGGAATACTCTTTCATGGATTGATTTTGGAGTGGCCTTAAGTTTAAAACGGCGCTGATTCAATAAAAACAGCAATGACAACGATGATGTTATTTCAACAGTCAAACAGTTTTTTAAAACCTTAAAGAAGCAAAACAGTACCAGGTTACATATTAAATATATGCCTTCATTTCTAACTAACACAAAATACGCACACGCTATCAGTGAAGCTAATATATTCTACATTCTCTGTGTTCTGTCCCCTCGCTGGGTCGGCTTCGGGTGGAAGTTGAAAATTTGTTGGTCCTCCTGTTATAGGTATACGGTTTCTGTTTTTATCAGACAGTGAGTATGCTTTAGGTAGGAGCTGTTTTTACCTTTGACATGTTTCGACTGTCACTTCAGTCTTCTTCAGAAACATCACTGACGTCTGTGATGACGTGTCTTCATCAGCTGATGGTTTCCTGGAGGTGTGACCCGCCTGGCGGTCTGTCAGATCTGCCTCCTGCCGCCCGGTGGTCTCTGCAGGAGAGCCTCCCATGTATGGGACAGCATGATGTCCCCTCATCATGGTTCATGGTGTCTTTGGCTTGCCTCCTGATTTCTACGGCCTCGTTGATCCAACATTTAAATTTGTTGTTCTCTGATCAGGAGGTGAGGCCCGTCAGACAAATCTGACAGACCACCAGGCAGGTCACGCCTCCAGGAAACCACCAGCTGATGAAGACACGTCACCACAGATGTTAGTTTCTGAGGAAGACTTGACGTGACAGTTGAAACATGTCAAAGGTAAAAACAGCTCCTACCTAAAAAATGCTCACTGTCTGATAGAAAAAGAAACCTTATACCTACAATCAGAGTAGACACGATGAACCTAATCACGCTGGTCCTCCTGTTACTTTTGATTTCTGACTATACTTATTTGAGTGATGTTAATATCTGAAGAATACATAAACATTACAAGTAACACTGATCTATATCATAACCACATCACACAGTAGGTCCAGCTGTGGGAACATTGGTGCTGTGTTCACGTCATGCCAGAAGAAAAAGGATGTAGAACTGGTTGTGACATTAACATACGTTTCCAAATTCGCGTTATTTATATTTAGCTTGGACTGTGGCCATCAGCAGATTGGTTGGCGATAACTGTGTCCTAATCATAGTGACCACATGGAGGCTGACTGGAACATCCCCCCTGTTCTCCATATTTACTCCTCCTCCTGTCACTGACATGACATGACACCACACAGAGCAGTGTGTTGGACTTCAGGGTTCTGTGGCCACAGCTTCAATCGGCTCCACCTGGGGTTCAGTGGGTGGGGTGGAGATGTCCTCCACCTGCTCTGAGTTAGGCTCTGTCACAACTACAGCCACCTGCTGACACACAGACAGGAGTCACATGTCAACATGGTTTGCAGAATATACCAAACATATTACATTGAAATTCAAGGGTATTATATTTGTAGAACATGTAGGTTCAACCTACTGTGCATCTACAGTTGAAACCAGACGTTTACATCCACTGTATAAAATGACAGAGAAATAACCTTTTGTTGTTTCTCACTGTTTGACATTTAATCAGACTAAACTTTTCCTGTTTCAGGTCAGTTAGGATCACCAACATTATTTCTATTTGCTAAATGCCAGAATACAGTGGATGTAAACTTCTGGTTTCACCTGTAAATATCTAACTGATCTGCCATCATTGTTGATCTTCTACTTTTAGCACAGAGTAAATCAATAAAATACCAAATGGGACCATCGAAAAAACAACTTGTGGTACCTGAGCTGGCTCAACTGCAGCTGGAGCGGCGTGAGCAACCTGCACAGCTGGAACAGGTGGTGGGCGTGTCTGTGGATAAGCAGGTCTCTGGCTGGGTGCCTGAAGGGGACACAGATGTTTGGTCAGCAGGAGTTTGCTGTAGTTTCAGTCTTTTACCAAACTACAGATGGTTACAGCTTCAAATGGATCCTTTTATTTTCATGTCTCTTAATGTTCCCTCTTACATAAAAACTGAGATAAATGAATATATATTCGTAAAAAGTTAAAAAATATATATATTTGAGGATGGATAGTAATTAGATTAGATTAATCGTAGCAACTGGACCTGCTTGAGTTCCTTGAAGACGTTCCACCTCTCATCCAAGAGGCTTCATCAGCTCTGACTGACTAGTTGGGAGTTCCACATCCTGATACCCTGAAGAAGCATTAACACCTGAGTTTGGGTTTCAATTGGGGGTTTGTTTGCTCCTCCCCCTTGTTATGTGAGTCATTAGTGCTCCTCCCGACACAGTGGGGTTCATTAGGGTCTGTTGTGGCTAGGTGTGGATGTGGTTGAAACCACACACCGTGTGGACTTCCGTATGGCGCAAGCGTTGTTTGGTAAACGGCTACGTACGCAGTGACGTATGGCTCTAACTTGGCTCCTTGCTGATAGAAAAGCAAACAGGTTCTTTGGAGGTGCCAGGTTGGAACCAACTAAGCACTGGAACTAGCACTTGGTTATTCTTGGTGGAGAAGGAGTATTGGTGCACTCCAACAAATTAAAGTCAGTCCTTTGCAGATGATCATTTTCAGTACCACACTGGTGTAGATTTAAGACCAGTACTGGCTTACAGGTTGAACAGCAAGGTAATGTAAAGATGTGAAGGGCAGGTAGTTCACAGAACCAAACTAGAGCACAAAACCGATTTACAAATGGCAGTTTAGCAAAACTATGACCGCGTGTCTGTTTTGCAGTATTCCTGCTCCCTAAAGGTCACTTAATGAGGCTTTAAGCTACCAGAGCTCACCTGGGTTCCACCAGCAGCGAGGACACTGAGTCCAAACAGCATGGCAGTGATGCAAATCAGCAGCTCAAGCACCAGAAAAAGCACCAGTGTCCCCAGAATCCCGTCGATCAACAGCTAGCCAGAGAAATCAAAGAGCACACGTGGTCAAAGAAGTTTGTGTTTCTCTCTGTGACGCCAATGATTCTATGAAAAATAGAAATGTGAAAGTATTAGGACATCTTTTTCTATCAGTCAAAGACACTTCTGTCACTTACTTTACACTTTTGCTCGATCAGCCCGGTGCATTTCCTGAAACAATGTTGCTGCAGTGGACAGTAAAGACAAAGAGACATGGAGTGTTTTAAAACTGCCGAGTGCATCGCTAACATGAGCTAGCAGCTGGTGACCACGGTAGAGCTGTGGTGACTCTGTTGTGTAATGACGTCAATTTTAGTTATCTTCTGTGCCCAAAAACACTTTTGCTACTAAATATTTTAACTGCACATCACCCCAGTGATGAAATTTATCCATGTCATAGCCGTGTTCTGTTTTAAGTCAAGTGATAAATAAAAACATTAGTTTTCCAGGTGTTATGACATAAAGTTATTGAAGTAATTTTGGCATCTTTTGGGACTTTAGGTTCACTATTTTTTTCAGGTACCTGACAAATAGAGTGTGTTTTTATTAGTAGTATAATAACACAGGAGTGATGTGTAAATTAGATGAAAACGATTGAATTAAATATTGAAATATTAATGAGATGAAGAGAAATATTTGATATCTTTAAAATAATTGGTGAACTATTTGCTTCATTAACTGTTTAAATCTAACAGTTCGGCCTTGAGAGGCCCCGCAAACATTGTTTCAGTCTTGCACCAGGCAAGACTCACGTTTCTAACAAACAATTTAAACTCCACTAACTGTCCAAATGCAACTTGAAGAAATAATTTATTGATGTTCGTCCTAATCAGCCTGTAACACAACCTGCCACAGAGTCAGCAGAAGGCATTTTTTTTTACAGCAGAAAGTGTTGTCAAAGTCGTAGCTAATAACACAGTTATTCAAAACCCCAAACTAATGAATTTAAGCTACTACTATCATGTAAAGACAATACCACAGCGTGTCGCTCCAGCCTGTGGCAGTGTTCACAGTGGTAGGAGTCCTGGCGGTAGGGCAGGTGTTTGGACATCAGACCCAGGGCAGCAGTGGCAAACGCTGCGCTGATAAGATGCAGCACCAGGACGCATTTTACCTGCAAACAATAACAGTAAAGTTCATGTACAATGGCATAAAAAACCCTTGCAAAGGTAATATTGCTCCTCTGAAGTATCATTCACGCGCCCTGTGTTAAGTATTTGACATTATAACACTGATCTTAATAAAAACAATGAGTTTTAGTTGCATAAACAAACAATTTGGAATTTGTTTATAAAAGGTGCAACACCTCCAGAAAGACAGAGTCAAGTGAAAATGGTTTTACAGTCAGAGAGCTGATGGTGCAGTGAGGGGTTTGGACAACAGTATCGGCTGTGTTGTTGTCAGTGAAATAAACTCCTGTCGATCCACAGTCCTTAAAACGCAGCATTAAAAATAGATGAGACAGACTGGACCAGCTCATCTGTGTGACCTAGATAGCATCTGTTGTTCTTCCTCTTCTCCTCACTGTTTTACAGAAACATACATGATCTTTTGCCCGTCAAACTTTTAAGACAAAGGAAAAAGCAGCTTAGCCCACAGTCTCAACCTGCCAAATAAGGTTTAAACTACACCGCAGGGTCGAGAGAACAGCAATGAGGAGCTTGAAATACTGAAAATAGATCATCATCATCTCCATAAGAAACCAAGGTGTGTTCATCCCATCAACCCACAGCTGAAGTCACATCACCAAAGCTGCCAAGTGTTGTTCAGAATACCCTCCTGCTCCACGAGTCACAACAACAGGATGTGATGCAGACAGTATTTCTAGCAAAGTCTGATTTGTGAATACCTGGCTCGGTCTTTCTTCTGGAAAGCTCAACATAATTTTACCGGACTGAGTAGCAGAACACTCCAAAGAGAATCCAGAGAACCTTTCCTACAGCTTTAAATCTGGTAAGAAACCATTAAACCCAAAACTCCCACCTACATGGAACATCTGCAGATCGGATGTTTGCTGCAAAATGACCACCCAGGACATCTCCCACCTTCACCAGAACCTGATAAGGATCATAAAGTGCCAATTCGAAGGAAAACTACACCTCTGGAGAGGAGGAGATCGCATTCTTAACCTCCTGACCTTTATCTCCTCCTAACACACAGAACTTTCTATTAACTGAACAGTTTAAATCCCAAAATGAAGGAAATCAAGCATCACCAGAGAATCCAAAGGAAACTTTGGGTTTGTTAGGTTCTCTGTTCCATCCTTTGTCTATAAAAGTCCCAGGTGACTCAGGGTGAAGGCAGGTTCACCTGGACAGGTAACCAGTCTATCACAGGGCTACACTTAGAGACAGACAACCAAGCACACTCACATTCACACCTAC